AACAAAAAAAGAAAACGATTAATCGATTATTAAATTAGTCATCGATTATTTTAATAATCGATTAGTTGTCAATTAATCAACTAATCCTGGCAGCCCTGATTGTGATCATCCTGTGAAAAGAAATGATGAGGGAAGCTGTGGACAGTTTGGTTAAACCTTAAAAACAGCATTTTTTGTGATATTGTGAGTTGTGAATGACTCGGGTACAGAGTTAATATTAGTTTTTGTAAAGTGAAGTGAGTTAAGATCAGTTGGCTGTGGCAGCCATCTTGAATGGGGTTATCTCCAAGTACATCCAATGTTTACTTTCTGAGACTTTCATTAAATCCAAAGAAGGGATAAAAAAAAACTAAATCTTAACTTCATGTAGTTAATCTCAGGGTTTTAAAAAGTCTCACACTTGTACATCCTGTAGGTTTAATTAAAAGTTGTTGAGTTTTGTGTTACTGTAACACAGCAGACGAATGAGAACACAGACACAGTCAAAAACAATGTTACCTGCCTTTCGTATACATATACTTCTTAAATAATGATGATAATAACACCTTTGATTGCTTTCTTCTTGCCTTTTCAGCTGCAAGCAATGGCTGAACAACTGTGCTCGGCAGGATTTGGCATCAGAACCTCCAGAGCAGCTGAACAAGTTGTACAGACTTTGTGCAAAACACTTTGAGCCCTCTATGATCTCTCATCAGGTAGGACCCAGACCCTGTAGCGAATTGCCTTTTAGTGCCAACGTAGAACTGATATTCTTCTCAGTTTGACTTTCGCCACTTAAATAAAAGCGTAGATGTTTTTCATGGTTCTACAACCCTAATTTCTAAAAAGTTGGGACATTGTGCAAAAAATGTAGAGCTGATGGTATTTTGGCATCGTGTCAGAATTCCAGCTTAACTCCAGAGAAAAATAAAAATCAGACTCACCTGGCCAGATATTTAACAGATGTTTCTCTGAACCTATAAAATCTGTTTTTCCTCAAAATTCATTTTCTCTGTTTTTATTTTTCTAAATTCCACTTTTTCCATTTTCTTCCCTGAATTCCACATTTTACTGTGACCATATTAACCTAAAGGGTGTAATTATAAAGTGACTGAACAATAATTTAACAAATAAACAGCCACAGAAATAAAACAATGTGTTGTTTCACTTTCACTAATATACAGCTGTGGTTCAGTAGAACATTAAATTTTTTTTGTAAGGTGTTATGGTAATATTTATTTAACAAAGACAGAAATACGTGGTCCAAGAACGAAGGAACTCCGTGGGATGATCAGCTGAGTTTTATTGCAACAACAGGAAACACAGAGAATAACCTGGCCTGTCTCTGTGCCTCTGCCTCTCTCTGTCACTGTCTCTCCACACTACTGTTGAACCCTGTGTCTCGAGAGGCCTCAAATATATATTAACAAA